CTTCCTTCCTTCCTTCCTTCCTTCCTTCCTTCCTTCCTTCCTTCCTTTCTTTCCTTTTTGACAAAGAAGCCAAAAGTACACATTGGAGAGAAGACAACCTGTTAGGGTATTGGGAAAACTGGATGTGCTGAGAATGAAACCAGTTCCTTCTCTCTCACTCTGCACAATAATTAATTCCAAGTGGGCTAAAGACTGCTGGAGGAGAAAGCAGGGAAAGCACTCCAGGATAGAGGTGTAGGTAAAGACGTAAATGGGACTCCAGTTGCTCAGTAAGTAAGGGCAGCCATCTTCAAATGAGACCACATGTAATGAAAAGGCAAGGAGAAGAGATGAGCCAGTGGAGGGTTGGAGAAAGTCTTTGCCAACTGTACTCCAACAGAGCATTAAGATTCAAAAATGTATAGAGTCCAAACCATTAGACAATAAAACAAAGAACCCAATCAAACACTGTCTGTGGAGTTGGGGAGATGGCTCAGTGGGGACGGTGCCTGCTGCATGGGCACCAAGCTCTGCCCTCAGAACTCGTGTAAGGCTAGCAGAATGGCTCATGCCTGTAATCCAGTAGCAGGGTAGAAACAGTTAGCTCTTGGGTATTTGCTACCCACAATCTAGCTGAGACACTGAGCTTCAGGGTTAGAGTCTGTCTCAAAACATAAGCTGGAGGATGGATTGAGGAAAGGCATTCTAGGTCAACTGTAGGTCTCCACACATGCCTGCACAGAAGAGCGCACCTGCACACTCACACATATGCTTGTGAGATCACAGGCCTTCTGGTGAAGTTGCTGCTGTTTTGCTAAATGTGTATGATGTGTCTATCAGATTGCCTTCTAGGTAACTGGTCTATGTCTAGCAAAGGGTTACTATTTCTGTCAGCTTTTGCCAGAGAAGCTTTCTCATTGCAGTGGTCAGAGGTAACTATCAAAATGCTAGGAATAAATGAGTTTTGGGTGCTCAGCCATAATTGGGGCATCAATATCACCCCCTAAAAGGCCCAGGGAACATCACGATAGAAGAAGAATGTAAGAGCTGGAGGAAGATGGGGGAGAAGTTGTGTGGAACATGACTTAGGGCGTGGTGTGGTCTGCACTCCTAACTTAGAGCACCTGTGATTCCCTACAAGATCTCACCATTTTAGGCTCATCAGGATCCCACCCCTGAGGGCTTATATGTAGTTTCTGGTTGACAGGGGAGGGGAAGACCTTTTCTTCAGTGGTACAGCACCTGGTAAGGTGCCCATGCTCGATTAAACAAATCCTCACCCATGTTCCTGTAAGCAAACCTAACCAAGCACATTAAGTCTCTCTCTGTCTCTCTGTCTCTCTGTCTCTGTCTGTCTCTCTCTCTCTCTCTCTCACACACACACACACATACACACGCGCGCACACACACACAGACACACACACGCACGAATACTACACACATGACATGGATGTGTAAGTTCCTCATTGGGAGGAAATCAGGAAGTTGGGGGGGGACAAGAAAATAAAAAGGGGAAGTGAATTATGGTTCAAAGACATGTAGATATATGTAAATTTTGTAATAAAACCCATTATTATGAATAATTAATGTACCAACAATAAATATATAAGAAGTATATAAATAAATAATATTTCCAGGAATTTATTAGTTTCACCTAAGTTTTCAAATATATTGACATGTTTGTTCACCATCTTCTTTTTTTTCAACAACTGGGATTTTATTGATTGAGGAGAATTGCACAGACATTTCAGTTCTTAACACATGAGACCCAACTCTGAAGGCATATGCTATGTTGAAGAGCCATGTGTGTTTCTTTATGGACAGTTCAGTGGTGCTCCAGCTTCAAATGTAAGACTTCCCATAACCAGGCAAATGCTCAGCACCTTCATTTCTACCAACTTGCAGTTTTATATTATATCTGGCACACATTCAAAAATCTCCATCTGTCAGAGCACATTATTACAACAGTTGGGAAAATGAACTGCCATTTCCAGAGGTGCTATGACCCTGACTGGGCCGGGAGTGAGCAGTGGATTTCTAGTAAACAGTTCTGCTAGAAATGTGAGACCAGATGTAACTGAAACTATCTTAGGCATAAACGCACAACTGAAACTCCCAACTGCAGTTTAGTATGCTTGCCATTGTAGGATGTAAAGCTAGCCCCTCCGTGGGATGTTAACTGTCCCTGAGACTGTCACAGCCTCTCCTGATTCAGTACCCCGCCCTCTTCTGTTGTAGCAAAAAAAAAAAAAAAAAAAACCAAAACAAAAAAACCCATGAATGATTTCACCTCATAAAAAAAATCATTTATGCTCACAAAAATGGGATGTGGTGGATCTCTCCCCTCCCATTTAAAAATGTTTCTAGAGCTTCTAAAAAACTCACATTTACTGAATAGTTGATAAAACTATTCTTCTGGATTGTACAAGAAGGGAGATGGGAATCACTGCCAGGCACAATGGGTGGTCAGCTGGACGTGACTTCTTTCTCTTCTCCTTCAGAGGCTGGACTCTGGTTTCCCGTGTCACATTTTCTGCAGCCAGATCTGTAGTTTGCTGGTCAGCCACTGCAGCCTGTTTGTCCTTTGCTCCCTCTTCCTTTTGTTTGCACTTTCTGGGTCTGGTGATTTCTCCTCCAGCAGAAACCTTTTTCTGTTTTGGGTCCTCCCTTAGGTCCACCAGTGGTTTTGCCTGATAGCCTGGCAGAGCAGCCATTGGGCTCCACCTTTGCTGCCGTGTCTGTGTGTGCTATGCTAAACTTCCTCTTGGTCATCTGGCGGCACTAGGTGGGAGGCACATGTGATGCTGAGCCTGCCATAGAGTACGCTGCTAGCTGCCACCACAGCAGCTGTGGGAGCTGTTTATTGTATTTTTATAATCTGTTTGCTTTCTCCATATTGATAGTTATGTTCTTCTTATTTAGCCACAAAGTTCATGTGTGTCTTTTAAAAAAGTTTCACTAGATTTCCTTATTTTATTTAGATTTTTACGATTTTAGTTGTATGTTTATATGTATGTATGTATGTGGATGCACATGTGGCATCTGTACATGTGGAGGTCCAAAGGAAACCTGCAGGAGTCTCTGTTGTATTTATGAGCTGTCACATGCATTCTTTTGCTTACCATTATACGTTAAATTTGCTTCAAGTAGTGTATGTGCTTTTTATTTGTGGTTTTCATTGTTAGTACAAATTGCTGCATTATATAATTAGTTCATCAATTTCCAGATTTCTGTTATAGTAAGAATAGTTTTTGGTTTCGGTGGTAGCACCAGGTATTGCACCTGTGACCTCACACATGTTGGGCAAGCTCTCTCCCACTGAACGATACCAGGAACAGAAGTGCTATTGCAGGTGCCTTTTGTATGTTCTTCAGGAGCTGGTGTGCCAGCTGGCGTTCTCATTCTTCCCTTCTTTCTGAGATAGCGCAGCCACAGACTTTCCAGCAAGCACACAACCCTGAGCACTTTTCTTTTGCTTTGTCCTTTTGGTTTGTTTGTTTGAGATGAGGTCTGTGTAGCCAGCCTGTCCTGGAACTCACTTTGTAGCTCAGAATGGCCCTTGAAACCATTGCTCTGTCTCAGCCTCAAGAACGCTGGAACTGCCAATAGGAGCCACCACAGTCATTTTATGGGCAGGCCGATGGAGTCATCTGAAAACTGCCATAATCAAGAGAAGCTTACAGAAGAATGATAACTTAATAGAGTGTTATATCTCAGTGTGATACTGAGGCTAAAAGAACATTAGTTTAAAATGAAGGACATCTGAATAAAGTGTAAAATGTAGTTATGAATATTATGCCAGCCGTTAGCCATGAGTTGTAACAAACTGCAATCGTGTAAGATGTAGTTAATAGGAGAGCATAGGTGTGGGGATGTATGGGAGCTGTCTATATTATCTTCTCAATTTCTCTTTAGGTTTAACATTGCTCTAAAAGACAGTCTATTCCTTAAAAAGGGAAAAAGAAAACGCGGTGACATTGATAGAATCCCAAGGAATGACTTCAATAACAAACACCCCAGGAGCACTGAGTCCTGTGAGTAGCGGTGCTGCTGGAAGCCTTCTAAACCCATTTAAAATTGTGTTTCAGCATGGACAGCGACGGGTCAATGACAATAGACTGGGATGAATGGAGAGACTACTTCTTCTTCCACCCTGCAAAAAATATCAGCGAGATCATTCGTTTCTGGAAGCATTCCACTGTAAGGCTACTCTGTTTTATTGTTTTTATTTTTGTTTAAATGTGGTAGCAGTAAATATCATTACATAATCCCTGTGATAGTTTTAGTCTCAATGACTAAAGATGTGTTATTTACTTTTAATAGTATTCTACTCATTTATTAAGGGACGTTAATATTTTATATGCAAACACAGAAGCCATAATTTGCTTGTGTTAAAATAGTGTTAATACGTGTAGTTGTTTTGTCCTAGAAAAGGAAAAAAAATCTATTTTCCTTTCTTTTTACACAGGTTTCATATGCTCAAGTGGGTGTTTTGACATGGGGAATATAAAATTACATATTAAGATTTCAGAATTTAGAGTAGAAAAAGGATCAAATATACTAGCTATCTGCTCTTTTAATTATTTATTTATTTTTTTTAAAAAGAAAACAAACTCTTTTTTCATTTTACATACCAATCCCAGTTCCCACTGGAATTCCCTCCTCCCATTCCCTCCACTTCCCCAACCCACCCCATCCACTCCTCAGAGAGGGTAAGGTATATTGTTTTGGGGAAGGTCCAAAGCCTTCCCTAAAGGTATCCATCCAAAGAGAATGGGTTCCCAGTACAAGCAGTAGGGGTAAATCCTATTGCTGCTGCTAATGTTCCTGGAGTCTTCCCAGCTCTACAACTGTCACCCACATTCAGAGGGACTAGCTTGGTTCTATGCTGGTTCCTTCCCTGTCCAGCTGGAGTTGGTGGGCTCCCATTAGCTCAGGTAAACTGTTTCAGTTGATGAACCCTTCATGGTCTTGATCTCTTTGCTCATATTCTTACTCCTCACTCTTTTCAGCTGAACCTTGGGAGCTCAGCCCAGTGCTCCGCTGTGGGTTTCTGCCTCTGTTTCCATCAGCTGCTGGATAAAGGTTCTATGGTGATATTTAAGATAGTCATCAATCTGCTTACAGGGCAAGGCCAGTTTGGGCACTCTCTCCTCTATTGCTTAGGGTCTTATCTGGGATCATCCTGGTGGATTCCTGGAAATTTCTTTAGTGTCAGGTTTCTTGCTAGCCCCACAATGACTCCATCAGTCAAAATATCTCTTTAGTTGCTCTCATCTCTGTTCTTTCTCCATACTAATTTCTAGAGTGTGTACAAGTTTGCATTCCCACAAACAATGGTGGAGTGTTCCCCTTACTCCACATTCTCTCCAGCATATGCTAACACTGGTGTTTTTGATCTTAGCCATTCTGACTGGTGCAAGATGGTATCTCAGAGTCATTTTGATTTGCATTTCCCTGATGGCTAAGGATAGTTGAACATTCCCTTAAGTGTCTTTCAGTTATTTGAGATTTTTCTATTGGGAATTCTCTGATTAGTTCTGTACCCCATCTTTTAATTGGATTATTCGATCTGAGATTGCAAGGAGTAAAGGAAATCCTATATTTAAAGACTTTTAAGTTTTTTAGATGTAAGGTGGGGGAGTTAAAATACTGCACCCACAACACACAGTTCTCATCAGTGTTCTGTCTTCCCTCCATAGACAATCCACAAGAAGTTAAGACCATTAGCTCTGGAGTCAGAATGCCCACGTCTGAACCCATGTCTCACACTCACTCACTATATAACTTCCTCTGTACCTCAGTTTCTTCCATTAGACAGTAGAGATAGGGGCATGAGTTTTCAGAGTTCAGTTAGTCCATTAGTCAATGTATTTAAAACAAACTAAGAACAGATGTATTCAGTAAACATATGTTATGTTAGGCACTTGGTTTCATCTGTGTTCCTGAATGTTTGGACATATGTGAGAAAATGTAACATCATTTCTGGTCTGGTTTTAATTTAGATAGTATTGTGATAACACATCTCATTTCTTACTTTTTGACTGGTCCTTCCATGTTCACTTAATTTATCTCCTGTATCTATTACCCAGGATTTTTACTACATCTTTATTTTATTAAGAATAGGTTTTTTCATACAATATATTCTTTCTTTAAAATTGTTTTTATTGAGCTATATATTTTCTCCACTTCCTCTCCCCTCACCCATTTCTACCCTCTCCCATGATCCCCATGATCCCAATTTACTCAGAAGATTTTGTCTTTTTCTATTTCCAAGTAGTTTAGATCCATGTCATGTAATATATTCTGACTACAGTTTCTACTCCCCCAACTCCTCCCAGTTCCTTCCTATCCCTCTCCCCTCTAAAGTCATACTTTTTCTATCTTTCCTTAGAAAATGTGTGTCTAAAGAATAATAAGATAAAATAAAAGCAAATCAAAATAGGACTATACAAACAGAAAAAAAGAGTTAAAGAAAAAACATGAGAAGCACATATAGATACAGACACACACATGTTCACAGACACAGGAATCCCATAAAAACACAAAACCAGAAGCCATAATGTATTCTCAAAGGATCAGTAGGTTAAAAATGCCCTGACACACAACATTATGAGACAAAGAACTTCCTAAGATGCCACTGAGTTCATTTTGTGTTGACCGTCTACTGCTGGGCATTAGGCCTGTTTTCCCAGCTATCTCTGTTGAAAAAACTAATTTGCCCTTGGCAAGTAGTTAATTGGAGTTACTTCTGGGTTAGGGATGAGGGCATGTGTCCACTTCTTATCTGGTACAGACCCACACAGGCCTTGTGCATACTGCCTCAGTCTCTGTGAGTTAATGTGTATATTGGTCCTGCTGTGTTTAGAAGGCCTTGTTTCCTTGGTGTCCTCCATCTTCTTTGGCTGTCATACTCTGTACTTCCTCTGAGCCCTGAGTGGCACACTGTCTGGTTGTGGGGTCTCTGTATTTGCTTCCAACTGCTGCAAGAGGAAGCTTCTCTGATAATGGCAAGGCAAGGTACTGATCTATGAGTATAGCAGAATGTTGTTAGGAGTCATTGTTACTTTCCTTTTGTAGAATAGTCGTATTTATTTTTAACTAGATGCCTGGCCTCTGTCTAGTCTCATGTTCTTGACCGCCCAAACAGTGTTGGATATGAGCTCCATCTCAGGAAGTGGGCCGTAAGTCAAATCAGACCTTCGTTGGTTTCTCTCACAAGCTTTGTACCACCGTTTCACTAGGGTATTTTGCAGGTAAGTCATTATTGAAGATTGAAGGTTTCCCTGATTTCTCTTTCAGTCAGTTTGTCATGTGTATATAGGAAGGATACTGATTTTTATGTGGTAATTTTACATTCTGCTACTTTGCTGAAAGTATTTATCAGCTGTAGGAATTTCCTAGTAGATTTTTAAGGGTCATTTGTGTGTACTACCATATTATCTGTAATCATAGATACTTTGACATCTTCCTTTTCTGTTTCTATCCTCTTGATCTCCTTTAGTTGTCTTATTTCTCTGGCTAAGACTTTAAGAACTGTATTAGATAGGTATGCAGAGAGTGGAAGACCTTGTCTTGTTCCTGATTTAAGTGAAAATGCTTTGATTTTTTTCCCAAGTAGATTGATGTTGCCTATGAACTTGCTGTAAACTGCCTTTATTTTGTTTATGTATGTTCCTTGTATCTCTAATCTCTCTAGGACTTTTATCATGAAGGAGTATCAAATTTTGTTAAAGGCCTTTTCTGCATCTAGAGATGATCATGTGGTTTTTGTCTTTCAGTCAGTTTATATAGTGGATTATATTTATTGATTTGTATATGTTAAGCAATTCTTGTATCTCTGGGATTAAGCCTACTTGATTACAGTGGATGATCTTTTTCATAAATTCTTAGAGTTTGCAAGTATTTTATTGAGAATTTTTGCATCTGTGTTCATAAAGGAAATTGATCTGCAATTCTCTTTCTTTGTTGGGTCTTTATGTGATGATGTTGGTATCAGGGTAATTGTGTCCTTGTAAAAAAGAATTGGGCAATGTTCCTTTTGTTTCTGTTTTGTGGAATGAATTGAGGAGCACTAGTGTTAATTCTTCTTTGAAGGTCTGGTAGAATTCTTTACTGAAACCTTTTGGCCTTGGGCTTGGGCTTTTTTTTCGGCGGGGAGGGGGGAGACTTTAAAGTGCTGCTTCTACTTCATTAGGAATTAGAAGTCTGTTTAAATTGCTTATCTGATCTTGATTTAACTTTGGTAGGTAGTCTATATGGAGAAAATTACCCATTTCTTTTAGGTTTTCCAACTTTGTCAAGCACAGGTTTTTAAAGTATGTCCTTGTGACTCTTTGGATTTCCTCAGTGTGCTGACTAGTTTTATGTCAACTTGACACAAGCTAATGACTGATCTGAGAGGAGAAAATCTCAGTTAAGAAAATGTCTCCTTGGCACTGCTGAGGAGTTCTACCCAGAGAGAACCTTCATATGGCGATGGATGGAGATAGAGACAGAGACACATATTGGAACACTGGACTTAACTCCCTAGGTCCAAATGAGAAGCAGAGGGAGGGAGATCGTGAGCAAGGAAAGCAAAATCAGACGGGGCCTTCATCCGACGATGGATGGCGATAGAGACGGAGACCCACATTGGAGCACTACAAGTCAGGACCGCGAAGGGTGCATTCACCCACTGATACAAGGGGACTGATCGAATGAGAGCTCACCAAGGCCAGCTGGACTGGGACTGAACAAGCATGTGATCAAACCGGATTCTCTGAATGTGGCTGACATGAGGGCTGACTGAGCCCCCAAGGTCCAAATGAAGACTGAGAAGCCATTGACAATGGCACTGGGTCTTGTTTCGTCTGCATGGACTGGCTTTTTGGGATCCTGGCCTGGCCTGTTTGGATGCTCACCTTCCTGGACCCGGAGGGAGGGGGGAGGAACTTGGATTCCCCACAGGACAGGAAACCCTGACTGCTCTTGGGAATGGTGAGGGAGGAAGGGAGGGAGTGGTGGGAGCGGGAGGGTATTGGGAGGAGGGGAGGAAGTGGAAAGAGTGTTTTCGGATACTTGAATAAACAAAAAAACAAAAAAACAAAACAAAACAAAACAAAAAAAACAAAAAAAGAAAGAAAATGTCTCCTTAAGTTCAGGCTGCAGGCAAGCCTGTAGGATATTTTCTTAGTGACTAAAGGAGGAGGGCCCGGCCC